AACACCATGAACCTTCAAGTAGGGTAGCTTCTCATTCATGCGCGTATATACAGGGAACATCTACGGAAAGGAATCCCTTTGCATGTCGTATATGAGGGTGGATCATGCCCTGCAGTACACAAAAAACTTCCGATTAATTTTGCAAGTGGCTGGTGGGACTTGCAGGCTTGGGGTGTCCATGTCGGCAACCTAGGACAAGACTTGCGGGGTAAAGGCATTTAGTTAGGGTTTTAGTTTTGCATGCTTAGGACAGGGTTTAGAAACGTACAAATCCAAAGCTAAGTTCCTGGGGCATCTTTGGATAAGTTTGTATTGTTTCTTAAACAGTACTATAAAACCCCCTTGGGCAAATAAAGGTACAGCTGTTGATATTATCCTGGTACGGCACCAGTTTTGCTCAAATATCAAAAATGCCCCGCAAAGCCCCAAACCCTCAGCCCCAACCCTGAACCCTAAACCCTAAGCCTCAAACCCCCTGACTAAGGTTTTCGGGTGGTGCCCACAGCATCTACCCGGAGACGCAGATGGAAAGGTTCTACGGCGCTTCCTAGCAGCATCGCATTTGAACCCCCAAGCCCTAAACCATGTCTGCCAAAAGAGACACACTTGTTCATCTGGGTTGTTGTTAAGGAATTTAAGTTGCCATAATGGGTATAGATGGTACTTCATATGGTTTCCCCAATATAGTGACTTCGATTAAATTCCTCAACAGCAGCCCAGTCATTCTTGGGGTTGTAGTGATGTTGTCGCAGAATTTCAAGCGGCTACCAGGGTAGTAGAACCCCCAATAAGTGCAGGATTCCTGTTGAGGGTACATGATGGGGTCTAGAAGCGGCCCCCTCCAAAAATGCACCATGATCTGGACTCAGATCGCTTAAGATTGATGCTAGGGTGCAGTACTGTATGTTGACACATGAGCAGTTCCGGGGGTGTCTGTTGGAGGTACTTTTAATATGTTCAACGGCAACCTAGCATCAAAGAGCAGCAAGAATGTTTTGGTGACAAAGTCCACGCCAATTCAGTTGCGCCTGCTGTGTGAATCTCTCCCGGAGTTGCAGGAGGCCGCTATAGACCATCTGAGGATTAGGGGGATACTATGGTACCCAATAATATAGGTTTTAAGGCCCTATAATGGAGAATCAAATGGAAAAGAAAATGGGAAATGAAATGGAAACTGGGAATGTTCTCCATGAATCTTTCAACATCTTCTTCAGCTCTCCTATAGGACAAAAGCATTTGCCCACCGCAAGGCAAAGCGCTGAGCCGCTTCTCGCAATCCACACCCTAAACCCCATACTCCCCCTGAAGTAGATAGAATATGGCTTTGGAAATTTTATAGTAAGATCCCATAAGATCCCCATATACCCCATATGCTATCTACTTAGGGGGGCCCTAAACCCTAAACCCTAAATAGTAGTTTCCATTTTCTTTTGCATTATCCCAGTATATTCTATCTACTTAAGAAGAATATAAACCCAGGGAACGGCCTCAATCTTCGAACCTCAACTTCACTCGGACCTGACAGCAGCTACCAAGCTGCTTAAATAGAAGAGTTGAAGCTCCTTCTATGCTAGTTATGCATGTA